ACAAAATTGTAACACTTTAAATTCTTTTTGCTTCTCGACTTTGATCTACAATGTTTGTGACTGCTGCTTTGGCCACGTTTTGTTTATCTCCCTCTCATCGTTGTTAACGCTTCTGTTTGTTGCAGATTTACTTGTTTGTCTTCCGTATTCTTGCACCGATTTTCTTCTTGTAGAATAGCAGCTGTAACGTCATCGAAGACTAGACTGATGACATTACTGTTTGTCAAGTTGATGATGAGTTGATCATACGAATCAGGTAGACTTTGAAGTAGAAGTTCAGCACATTCTTGTTCTCCTATTGTACATCTTAAGGATGTAAGCTGAGAAAATAAAGTGTTCAATGTGTTTAATTGTTCCATCACTGAAGTAGATAATGGCATCCGGAGAGTGTGTACAATTTCCTCTTAAGAAAAATTTTATTGTGCAACGATGTGGCCTTGTACAATTTGATGAGATGATCTCATATCTCCTTAGTTGTCTTCTACTCCTCGATGCTTGACAATACTTCATTTGCTAATACTAGATGAAAGTTTGTCATATGTGAAATCTACAAGCCTTTCACTGATAGCTGCTAGACAACCGTCTTTCCTCAAAATGACCTTCATCTTCAATTTCCACAATGAGAAATTTCTCCAATTGAACTTTTCAATATCAAATTTCGTTGTCATAGCTTCTATTACGGATAGCTCCCACTATTTCACTATCGTGAATAGTTCTCTGGAACCTTCAAAGAATGAGTAATACCTTCTTATTTTCTTATGTTGGAGGATCCACCTTTTGGTGGCGACCACAAAGACAATAAGTAGATATTATACACTCAAATCTGGCTCTGATATCAATTGTTGCGGAATACGGCTATTGGATAGAGCAAAATCACAACTGATAATTTGAGAAAATAAAAATGAAGATAAAAAAGACACAAATTTTACGTGGAAAACCCCTAAATAATATAGGGTAAAACCCACGAGCAACGGTAGAAGAATTCACTATGAGAATATAGGAATTATAACTTCTCTTGATCTAACAATGAGAAAACAATAACAATTATCTCTTGATAAAAATGAGAAAACAACTCTCAAGAAAACTCTCTAAATTCTCTAGTATTGAGAGAAAGCTATAATGATTTGAGATGATTTTGAAATTAAATGAATTAGGGTATATTTATAGTTGAAGCTTAAGGACTAATCTTATAAATACCCTAAAGTACATTGACTAAATTTGGTAATATCCCCTTACCAAAATTTCAACAAATAACAGCCCCTTTTCGGTGCCCTTTTTGACTTCATTCGGTGCATTAACTTTCAATCCATGCACTTTCGGTGCATCAATTTTCAACGTGTAATACCATCCTTGAAGGATGCCAATACAATAATCAGCTACCTCGCCATCGATCAAGTGCCAGAATATCTGATAGAACATAGCTCCTAATCCTTCATGCCCCGAAGTCTTTAGCGGACTCATTGATTTCACCGCTTGTGACACGTCTTCAATGGTAAAAGGGCGAAGCAAATCGACTTTCATTGCTTCTGTGATACTAGTATTTAAACCGCTACGAATTCGCTCATCCATTGGAATAACATTAGAAGTAAATAAATTCAAAAAATAACTTCTGCTCACTACCTCTAGACCCACATCTGTGTCAACAACCGAACCATCATCCGATTCCAACGCCAAAATTTTTTTTTTGTCGTCTATTTGAAGCGAAACGATAACAAATGTGGTGTTACTGTCTCCGTACTTTAACCAGTTTGCACGAGCCCTTTGTTCCCAATAATATATCCGGCTGGTAGTACAATATAAGTGATAGATTTCACAGAACTAACAATTCAATGTTCTAAAAATTCATTACAAAGTTAAACTTTTTAACATATATTTTTTTATAAGAGTGAATTGCATCAGACTTCTCTAAATTATAGTTGAACTTTAAAATGTTCTAACTAACCATCAAGATAGGTTTTAATCGAATTCTTTCATCAATCTACTCATCTAGTTGACCATTAAATACCAATTTTCATCTAATAATAAGCATATTTAAAAACATTAAATTTAAACTTGCATTAAACATTTGTGTTATTGACTAAACCAATAGAAAAATCTAATTGAAATTACAACACAATAGTGGCTTTAACCTTCGGTTGTAGAAGCTGTATTAAGCAATCGCAATGGACGAACTAGAGCCACCCGAAAAACGCAGAATATTATGTTAGGAGGAACAAACTTAAAAACTTATAAGAAGAGAGAATTTATAAAATTTTAGGAAGAAAAAACATATTTTTAACAAAAAAAATAATAAAAAATCTAAAATATACCAGAATTTAAAAATTTTAGGTCATCCATGCCAATAACCTTCTTTCCCCACTAAAATACAACCTCCTTAGTATCCATCACAGAGTAAACTTCCACTTTGTGATTGAAAGTAAAATAATTCTAAATTTGGATTGGATGAGTCCCCACGATGAAACTGATGTTTCTCATGTAATCTGACGTATTTTGAAGTCCCAAGTTTCCTACACTCAGTCTAATAAAATAAAATCAATTTCCTCGACACATGTGCTGAACCGTATATAAACACATACATGCTTTCAATTTCGTTCATGGTTAATTTTATGTTAGTTCCTATCCTTGTTGGATATCCTGGGAACTGTTTAAATGCAAAAGTCTACCCCAGATACATCCATGCACCAGTAGAGTCCTGTTAAATGCTGAAACGCTGTCATTTTCTCCTTTACGTTTTTTTATCGGTTACAATTGGAGAACTTTGATAAAAAGGCACGCCGCTTGACTGATTGGTGCTTCAATCAATGCCTTTACTTGGTTGAGTATCTCCTCATTTAGATTCCAACTCAGCATAGACAAAGTCTCCTCTTCTTCTTCTTGTTCTTATTCTATCATCGATATAACCTAGGAGGACGATTCTTTGTGTGTTTTCAAGGGAATTCAAGGTTCGTTGATATGGATCCTGAGAAAGGAAAGATAATTGAGGGGGAGACGAAGGAATCGAGGAAGATGGTGAAAACATACGTGGCTTTCTTATGGTCGTTTATGGTGAGTTTGGGCGGAGGCTTGTTGTTGGCGTGGTGGGAATATGAATATCATCCAGAAAACAGGCAGCTTTGGATGGTACCCTTTGGTCTTATCATGTTCTCAACCCCACTCATCATCTGGTTCGCCATTTTCGCTTCTGATATCTGCACTCGTGAGGACGCTGTAATCCAATCACCCGATGGCTCGAATCATGAACCGGGAAAGGTGATCGACCTAGTTACTTCGACGGCGTGATGATTGTCAGTTTCAATAATGTTTTATATATATTAACTTTACAATAATGGCACTCTCTCTTTTGACTTACCTTTTTACAGTACCAGTACCTTTTCATATAAAATTTTTCTACCTATGGACAAATGAAGCATGAAACATTCTGTCGACAGATGAGGTTTATATATTTCGTTGAACTCAGACTTCATTAAATATTTATTCCTATTTCTATAAGATAGTTTAGGTAAATATTTAATTTAATCCTTATGAACTCTTTAATAATTAAATGGACAAACTTTTTCTTGCTATTGTAAGACACTTTAATGAGTTTATTCTCATATCGGACTGATGTGCCGTTGATTGATAGAAGCTATATACACGATGGTAATGTAAAAATAATAATACCTAATATTGGTAGGTTTTCATTTTTCATTAGTATACATGTAGTGTTATTATTTATTAAATTATTTTATTTTCAATTTAAAAATTTGTTTAACTTTCTATGCTCAAATTTAAGCTTAATCGTTTGGTCCTCAACTAAACGTGAAAGATTCTATAGAATTAATTCCTCAATTTTGTGAAATTAATTCCTGCCTCTATCTATAAATACAGGAGTTCGGGATTTCGTTTTTCGTGATTAATTTTTAGTTATAGATAAAATTTTTAATATTAAAAATTTATCAAACAACACTTAAAATGATTTTTAGAAAAATAAGAATATTAACACCAGAAGCCATTATTTTATTTATATTTTCTAAAAGAAAGAAAAATGGGAGTTACAGTCCAAACCAAAGCCCAAAGTAATCTTAAAAAAAATAGAAGGGTAAATTACATCATTCCTCATTGTACTATACTCTCTCTTATATATTTCTCATTTTTTCTATTTTTGCTCATTAAACTTTACAGATTGAATCATTTTGCTCACTCTGCCGTTTACTTTTTAATGAAATTATGATGTGACACAGGAATCAAAATGACACCATTTTGAAAAACTCAAATATACTCTAAACGACATCATTTTGGTGAATAAAATATGAGAGATAATAAAGTTTAATGACTCATGGTGTAATTTGCCCTTTTTTCTTTTCTTCTTCATTTTCTCTCCGCGGCCACCATATCATTTTCATTTTGGCCACCGTCAAACGTCATAGATGGTGGTCGTTCGGTCCTAAAATGGGATGGGTTGGTTCTTCTCGACTCCCTAAATCTGAATCTGGACTGAAACGTTTCGATTTCCTCATTTTCAATCTCAAATTCATGGACTTCAGAGCAACTTACGACAAAATGGAGGTCATATTTGAACACACGACGTCGAGGCGAAGCGACCCATCCCATTTTGAGACCAAAATACCACCATCTACAGCGATCGACGAAAACTGGCAGTGACATTCAGTCACCTTATGTTTTTATTTTATTTTTTAATTATTTTATATTAAATAATAATAAAAAAATTCCACATTATCAGCCGTTAGAGAGAAAATAGAAGAGTGAGCAAAATGATTCATTTTTAAAGATCAATGAGCAAAATAGAAAAATTAAAAGTTAGGTGAGAACAATAGGAAAGAGAATATAGTACAATGAGGAACAGTGAAATTTACTCAAAATAGAAAAACAAACTGACGTAAGAAGCCGTGCAAAAAACCAATAAACTAACAACTAAAGCCTGAGGTTTTTGTCTTAACCAGACACACCAAAATCTCACGTCTTTTGATTCTTTTTTCTCTTCGGTTACAATTTTTTTTTTTTTAATTTCTCATTTAGTTCCTTTTAACGTTAACTTCCATCTCCTTAAATTCGAGACTCATCATCATCGCTACCTAATGAAAGTAAAACCCCTCTTCAGACATTAAAGAAGGCAGTAGAGAAACCCGTTCACACTCACCAAGGTAAAACCAAAACCTAAGAAATAGTACATACCCTTTATTTCTTTTCACATTGTTTAATATTTGGGGATATTCAACTTGGTTTTTTCCTTTTCTTTTTGGGGTTTTTTTTTTCAGGATATTTCTGAAGGTGATTAGGGCTAGGGTTTCGTCTTGGAGTAAAGTTAATTTATCTCAAGATGCAGCAGCCACCACAAATGATTCCTATGATGCCTTCATTCCCACCTAACAACATCACTACTGAACAGATTCAGAAGGTATATACGTATTTGCATTAGTAGATATACTGTGTTTAGTACTGCTAGTACTTTTGAAGTTATGGCGTTGATGAGAGTTAGGTGCGTCTGGTTTTCATGTGTGTTTGTGATTATTACGTTTATGAGAGGGAATAATTGTGCTTCCATGAATTGTTTGTACCTAATTATAGTTATCGGAACAGAATAATGGTTGTGGAAAGTTAAGGGTTATTTGATGTTGGCTTGAGAAGTTATGGTAACAGTGATGGATAGCAATAGCATAGAGAGGTGAATGGAAGTTATTGCTGATGCAGGGGATCTAATTATTCTTTTTGTCATGTTCGATATGGTTGATTAAACTGGAAGTTGTTGGTCATGTTGGGATCTAATTGTTCTTTATGTCGCATACGATATGGTTTATTCAATTGGAAGTCGTTGGTCATGTCGAGGATCTAATTATTCTTTTTGTCGTGTTCGATGTGGTTGATTAAATTGGAAGTTCTTGGTAATGCTGGGGATTTGATCTTAATTCTTTTTGTCGCATAAGATATGGTTGATTAATTTTGTTTTCTGTCTGCCGTTTTAGAATCTGTTGTCACAAGAAAGAAACTTATGCCAGATTGAAAAGTGAGATACATCTGGCACATCTAGCGATTGTGCTTGATGCTGGGGAGAATCAATAGCCTGATTACTTGTGTCAATTTGATTCTTCCATTTTGTCTCCAGAATCATTTTTCCCCTTTCTGTCTTTTACGAAGTGTGTAAATCAATTTCAAGTAGCCTTTTAACATCTATTCGAGTTTATTGAAGTCTTCAAATATCATCTTTTGGAATTTATCTGCAATGTTGCCAGAAAAATCATTAATGCGGTGAAACATCTTATTTGGAATATTTTGATATGAAAACAAAAAATGGTAGATCTGCTTGATAGTTTGCTGGCATATTAATACTTTCAGTACTTAATTGTTACCAATTCCTTTTGGTTACCTTGCTTGGGAATGGCATCCAAATGGAGTTATAAGGCCAGTTAAGCTGTCTACATGGTTCCAAATATGGCTGTTGCTGCAGAAGCTCGAATAGTGTGTTCCTAATAAAAGGCCAATAGGGATGATTTCATAAGGCCGTTCAAGTGGCTCTCATCCTGTCCTTGCTTGAGATAAACTAGCGCAATTCGTGTATTCTTATGCCTCACTAGTTATGCTGATTTTCACCTCGCCTATAGAAATTCTTTAGTTTTGATCAAGATAGGGTATTAGACGATAACTACGTATTTCACTTTGAATAATCTGTTCTAATCCTTGAAAGGGATACCTTTCAAGGAAAAGCATTATTGTGCTGTAAATCTTAAAACATTGATATCGTTAAAGAATGTATTGATATTGCGTTCTTTTTCAAGAAACTCTAATAGATATTAGATACAAGGTCGGTGCTTGATGTAGTAAAGATGTTGGCTAATTTTTAGAAGCTTCTAAGTAGAAGATGTGAGCTTTATATGCTATCTCTCATGGATGATCACTATGTCTGTAGTGGATTAACCTAAAAGCTTGAAAGCCAGCATTTGTTCTATGGAAGGGAATACATTTGCAGGGCTCTATACCCTTGAGATTGTAGTAACCTTTTTCATGGTTAAACTTCCTATTGAATGGGCTATCATTTCCTAGGTTAAGGTCCTTCTCGAAAATTCAAGATTCAGGAAAACCTCAACAAGTTTAAGGAGTGCCCAAATGCAAAATCTTTTTATAGAGTTTGGTTGGCATACAATCTTTCAGTAAATGCGTACCCTTGAGATTTTGTAATATATGGCTTTAGAGAAGTCCATATATATATCTCTGCCCCAAATAATCATCTGCTGGACATATTGACTGTTCTTGTCACATGACGCTAAGGAATTCAATATGTGATAGTAGAGATACTAAGTTATTATTGTGGTTTTTTCTTTCCCGTTCTTATTGCAGTACCTTGATGAGAACAAGAAGTTGATCTTGGCAATTTTGGACAATCAAAATCTCGGAAAACTCGCTGAATGTGCACAGTAAGTAATTTATAGTTTTTTTTTCTAGTTGTCCTGGTGGCGCATTCATTGTTATTTGCTCTCAATTAGTCTTGTGGGTTGTCTGCTTTTTGCCCTTGCATAATTCAATAACATCTTGAGATGCCGATAACTTGTATTCTCGTAGTTAGCAAAAGCTGCAACTTTCTGTTGTGAACATGCTATTAAGGAGACATGATGGAAAAAAGAATATTTTACTTGCATGTCTAATGTTTGTTGGTCATTAGTATATGATGGTGTCACAGTTAATGCAGTGAGGTTCCATTTCCCTAATCTCCACACCTCTCTCAGGTATTCATTTAGCTTATATTCGATCAAGATGATACCGAAGAGGTGAATTTTAGAAGCCAGAGAGGAGGATTATCAACCTAAAAAGCTTGGAAATTGGGACAATATGTTTTAATGTTAATACTGCATTGTAGCGTATTCATATTACTCCCTATAAAACCACCGTCTTTTTCTTCTCGTATATATGTTTGGTTTTGCATATTCACACGAGCACATTTGGTTACATGTGTGACATTTAGGCAGCAAATATATCTAAGATTTGATGTTTTAGGTATCAAGCTCAGCTGCAAAAGAATTTGATGTACTTAGCTGCAATTGCGGATGCACAACCACAAACAACACCCACAATGCCTCCGCAAGTGAGTGTTGAACTTTAATTGTTTCTTCTAGCTATCTGCTGTTGCACTACTGGTTTACGTGTTTTTCCAACAATTACAGATGGCACCACATCCTGCAATGCAACCGGGGGGATATTTTATGCAACATCCTCAGGCTGCCGCAATGGCGCAGCAGCCCGGTATGTTCCCTCAGAAGATGCCATTTCAATTCAACAACCCGCATCAAATGCAGGATGCACAGCAGCAGCAGCAGCTACACCTGCAGCACCAACAAGCCATGCAAGCTCAAATGGGAATCAGACCTGGAGGGCATTCCAATAATGGCAGGCATCCCATTCAAGCTGAGGCTAATCTTGGAGGTAGTAGCAGTGGCGGTCCCTCTTCAGCTTCGGGCCCAAACGATGGACGTGGTGGGAACAAGCAAGAGGGAGTTGAAGCTGGTGTTGGTGGACAGGGCAGCACAGCTGGTGGGCATGGTGATGGAGCAGACGAGGCAAAGTAATTGCCCCCTTAAGTTGTTTTGATCCGATACTCTGGATGTTGATAGTAGGTCTCTCTTACTATACTTGTACTGCTCCGGTAATCTTTCGATAGACCGACAGTTTTCTTTATTGCTATCAGTTTTAACAGTTTTAGGTAAACTTCTGTTGGGGGGTTCTTGACATGCCAATGAATCAAAAACAGCTAGTTTTAGTTGTAAAAGGGGGAAAACTTAAAGCTTGTGGTGTCTACCTCCATGGATGTTTTGTAATAACATTTAAAGCTTGCTGCGTGTATCCGAATTGTGATCCCAATTAAAAGCCTTCTGGCAATGTTTGTGCCAAAAAAAAAAAACTAGTTAAATCATGGTCATGGCTGTGAAAGTGGAACCTACCATGAGACACCAATTAAAGGCGGTGGAAGCATTTGGGCTCATTTACAAACAGAGATCCACGAGACGAGGCTAACATAGCGGCGCCGATCTCTATTGTTCCAAGGTGAAGAACATGTTCATCAACTGTATACCTTTACTTACCTTTTAATGATCTGAGTTGGTAAGAAATTAAATTTTATTAAGTAGATAAAATAAATGAGGCCGAACTTTGAGGAAGGCAAGGCAAAGGAAATACATTGACATTGACTTCTCTAGGGTCAAGGTTTAATTCATCAACTCCCTTTTTTCCCCATATTTTTATTTGGATAGGTAAGTCGTTATACAGGAAAGAAGTCGGAGATTACGGTACATTAGAAATTTTACACAAAATAAGAATAATATGAATGTTTGATTGAGAGTTAAGGTACATATAAACACATCTAACCCTAGGTAATAATGTTGGGAAATTACCAGTCATCTTGTTTGAGGTCAGTCGGTAGATCCCAAAGTAATGAGAGGTCCCGTCTGGACTATGAAGCTGGGAGATGAGTCTGAAGGAAAGAGTTCTAATTATTTCGATTACTCTTTGAAGATGTAATTTGGCTTGAAAAATGCCGCTTCTACAAGCGAAGGTGTTATGGAGATTGGCAAAACTCCAATAGCCATGTTGTAATAAATGTTGATCTACTTTAAATTCCTTAAATCATTCTTTAAAGAGATCAATAAACATATTTTTTATACAATTATGGATGCTGGTTTCTGATTAGATTGTGGAAAGGGATGGATCGAGGAGATTAACCGTAACAATCATCCTCCAAAAATTTTCGTATAATTTAAATATTATTTTATTAATAATATGTAAGCACAAGCATTGCTACTTTTTGGACTAAGAAAACACGAGTTATCCATGAACGCCATCGTCACTTTTTTGTTTTGAATCACTAAACTTTTTGACGTTTGGTGGAGAGACGACCATCGTAGTTGAAACATCGTATGGTTTTTTAATATATATTTTGGTTACCCTCCAGTTCCAAGTTTCCGTACTAATTAATCTAGACCAATCTAGGTCGCACACCTTATTTTAATGGGTGAGTCTCTCAACATGAATTTTATACATACACAAAGACTCGAACATTTACTTAAATGATATCAAATTATTTACCGCTTGAACCAATCTCAGTCGATCTCTTTACTGGGTTTTGTATTTGTCTTTCGTTGGATTTCATAATTGTTTGTTATGAACAAGTATATATATCGTTTTTTAAAAAATCAAACAAAATATATTCTTTGGCAGTCGGCCGTTGAAAAGAAAATGCCAACGATTCAATATTTTATTCTTTGAACCTTCAAGTGCACGATTTTTTCCGGTCTTTTTCGGACATCTAATTCCAATTCGTGTAGTAAACACGCAACTTTTCTTACCCTTTACCAAAATTACTTTTTTTAAACGATCGTTGTACCCACACATTTATTTAATAGTAATAATCTAAATAAAATAAACTTTATCAAATCAAATCAAATAATAAAAATTTCACATTAAATATTTAACGTTAGTTTTAAAATTTTAAATTGAAGAAAAAATAAGAATAAAACTGAAAACACAGCTTGGGGCATTCATGCTCATTACGGGTTTGTTCTGATTTTGACTGGTTTTATTATTTATAACAGTGTGTGGATTGCTTTCTTGGATTATAAAAATTCGATTTATCCAAAAAAAACTAAAAATGCAATCTATACATCTATATAATTTTTTTGTGAATAATTTAGGATAAATACAAGGCAGTATATGTTCTAAGATAACTCTCAACCATTTAATATTGAACGCTCACACAGTCAAACCCATGACATTCCTGATATTCAAACCTAGAATATCAAAGAATAACATCAATTCATTATTAGTGAGGTTGCTCCGTTCGTGCTATACATCCATTGTTACTAATCTCCTTCCCTTCTACTTTTTCCATTGTTAGTTTCATTTTGGTTAGATTATCCCTAACATCATTAAATTATTGTTTGATTCTATTTTAAAACTAGACTAAAAATTTTATCAATTAGGTCGACTTTTATTTTGGTTTCAATCAAATCAAATGTCATAAATTGTTAATAGAATTATCGGCATAGCAGTTAAGTACTTAATTTATATAATAATATGTTTTTTTTAAAATGTACTTTATATTATAATTATTTACAAAGTACATCACCTCAAGGACCTCGTTAAAAAATCTCCCTAAATCTAAATGGAATAAAAAGAGTGTGTCTTGAGATAGGATCTAGGAACATTGTACACCTTTTGTTAATTACTCATACAAGACAATCACAGCCCCTACACCATACCATAGACCTACTCAGTCAATTACCCTTCCAAACCTTCCTGCCACTAGCCTATGGAAATGAAAGCAAATACCAGTTACTGAACTAACAAAACAATACCCTTAATAGACACCCAATACCGAACACTCATACAAGACAATCACAGCCCCTACACCATACCATAGACCTACTCAGTCAATTACCCTTCCAAACCTTCCTGCCACTAGCCTATGGAAATGAAAGCAAATACCAGTTACTGAACTAACAAAACAATACCCTTAATAGACACCCAATACCGAACAACACTATAAAATAATCTGTAATACAAATACAACAAAGACTCAAAAATCAACTCAATCTCTACTAACAGCAACCAAGAGTAATGGACTCGGGACTTCGAACGAAATCTTGAACAACAGGGATTAGCAACGGCCATTGATAATTCGCCCATACTCCAATCTGCAGCAAAACAATATTGAAAATAAACTTGAGTTGTTTCTACACATCCATATTTGTTTTTCGATGTCCACATGAAAAAGACCCTTGTTATAACCTTGCTTTCAGATATATACTTGAATTTAAATTTTTATGAGGGTCGTTTAATTTTATTAGATGGTCAAACTTATTAAATTATTTATAATTAAAATTAAGACCAAATTAATAGGATCACATATGTTATTACAACCAATTGAAAGTTGGGTGATCTAATTGATGAGAGTTTTAGCTTAATAGTCAAAATAGAATCAAGTAAATGGTTTAGTGACCTTGGGCGTAGTTTATCCTTGTTATTTTTATTTTCTTGCCTCTTTTCTTTCGAAAGGTAATTTTTCCTTCTTAAACAACCAAGAATTGGAGTCGACTCTCGTAATCAAACCCATATCAGTACTCTCTGTTTTTCTCTCTTCAAGATTCAACCGCCATGAAAGACGACCAGCAACGCCCTCTTCACCTCCATACGCACCAACGAAGCAGATTTCCCATCACCAAGCTCTTCACTCACACCACCGCCTACGTTGTCCTCGTCTTATTCAGCTACGCCATGGGTTATCTCTCTCACTCCTCTCCTACCCAGCAACAGCAGCAGCAACTTCCCCAACTAACTCCTCCTCCTCCTCCTCTTCCGGTTTCCCTACTCGACAGCTTCCGAGTCACCGCTCAGTGCTCCAACTCACCCGTCCCTCCGCACCTCGTCTTCCCAACCATACTCGATCGAGTATTCAATAACACCTCCCCCTACTCGAATTTTCCGCCAGCCTACCTTCGAGCTTTCCTCAGGGGAAAAAGAATCAAAGGCTGGGGATCCAACGGCGCCGTTTTCGAACACTTGATCGAACGAGTCAAACCCCGAATTATCATCGAAGTGGGCACTTTCTTGGGCGCATCAGCTCTCCACATGGTCAACGTGACTCTCAAACTCGGCCTCAAAACTCAGATACTCTGTCTCGACGACTTCCGTGGATGGCCGGGTTTCAGATACCGTTTTAAGGACATCAACATGATAAACGGCGACGTTTTGTTGCTTCAGCAGTTCCTCCAAAATGTGGTCTATTTCAATGCGACCGAGTCGGTTTTACCCGTTCCGTTCTCAACGGGTTCGGGTCTGGAGAAGCTATGCGAGTGGGGAATAAAAGCGGATTTGATAGAGATCGATGCGGGGCATGATTTCATATCCGCTTGGGGAGATATTAACCGGGCGTATCGGCTGTTGAGACCCGGTGGAGTAATTTTTGGGCATGATTATTTTACTGCGGCGGATAACCGCGGAGTAAGAAGGGCAGTAAATTTGTTTGCAAAAATGAATAATCTCAGGATCAAGACAGACGGTCAACATTGGGTGATTGACACTAATTCAAAAAATGCACTCCAAAAGCATTAGCAAAGATAGTCGTTTTACTTGAAAATTTATCTTGTATTTGTAAAGTATATGTGCGTTAAAAATAAAAAAGATTTTAAATTTGTAGTTCGATTGTGTAATAATAATTACATTGCGGAAAAAATTAATGATAATCAAACAAATATTTTCCAAAGAGAAAAGAAATGCATTCCAACCTTATGATTTATTTCAAGTAGTTTGCTGGAAGCCTCGTAGTTAGTTAATACATTATCTGTGGCTTACACCAAGTTGCCAAACTTCGGTAGGCGATCGAAGGGCAAATTGGGGTCCCCTCTTCCTATTCGTTTTAAACCAAAATTGATTCAAACTTTATACAATAATAGTCGTCACCATCTAACAAGATGTCCGCTTCGTCTCATCTATCGGCTTGAACCAACTGTGGATTCCGGCCCCAAAACTACCAAACACAAAAGCAAGTGCAAACTACATCTCTCTCACTTGTTTTTACTACAAATTCTTTAATTATTATTAACTACATCTAACCACTATTATGCATTCACCTCGTACGAAAATGATATTATACGTTGAGGCCCATCGAAACTTGTAAATTTTGTAAACTACATAAATTATTTGAAAATATTTAATTGACAACGAATACTCCAATGATTTAAACTTGCTCGTGTTTAGGTTCCGACATTTGGACTAGACTTTTAAAGGAGCTGACACTTCAAAATTCTCTCTTGTACTTAACTGTTCAATTAAGAAAATGGAAGAAAATCTAGAGGAATAACGATAAAGAATGAGGCAGATAGGAACTCAGATTTTAGGCTATTCGGAGACTGATTTAGAACTGTAAGTGATTATTTCTCAATTATACTTAGCCAGGCCCGGAAACACACAAGGGGAAAGCAAAGCCCATGTGACCACTCCAGTGGACTCGTATCCCATAATAAAAACCATTTTTTCCATTAAATAACTCTTATTTCTTTCCCCAAAAAAATTGTGTCCGTGTGACTTAATGTAATTTATGGGATACATCCACTATATATATATATATTTAATTACTCACATAAAATAAATAATTAAATATCTTAATTTTTATTAGATTAGATCTTTAATGAATTAGTGGGTTACTTATTTATTGGGTTACATGATATCTAAAATTTATAAACCCAAATTTTCACAGATTTTTAAATAATTCAAAATTAGAATTTATCGGATTTGATTTTTTTTTCGGATATATAAAATTTTTGGATCGAATCACGAGATCAACGAATCGGATTAAATCTTTTACACACCCGAAATGATTAGATGTCGTAAATTCCATACCAAATCAAGTAAATTATCAATCGATATCTTTCCCGGGATGTTACAAATTTTAAGCATGGTGAAGCTGGTTAAGAATTTCAGGTTTTCTAGTGTTTTACTGTCGTGTCCAATTCTTGCAGCTACCCTTTTCTACTGGTCACTGACCAATGACCACATAACCTCTCTTTCTTCTCTTTAATCCTTGGTAAATAACTAAATACAACTATACGCTTTGCACTCTTCTTTTTCCTTTGTTAATCGTTACGGACACAGTGCTTACATAAATGTATATTTCTGACCCTCCTTTTTTATTCTATATTTTCCCACCTATTAAAGAATATTATTATTTATTTTTAAATTATAATAGACATTACTTTATAATTTCCCTTAAATTATTAAAAAAATCCTTCGACGTTGAAGCAAAATTACAAAATTATCATAGATAAAAACGAATCATAGCAGAAAAGATTGAAAATGGATATAATGCATAGCCTTAATTAAACCTTTTTGCTGATCTAGCCTCCTTATAAGAGCGGATTTTAGGCCTTGGTCGCTTCTCAATCCACCAGGAACCCCAACCACGATATCCTGAAGCATTAGATCGAGAACACACGACATGCTTGCATGATGGAGCTGGCATTCGAGGTCTCAAAGGGCACCCATTACCCTAGCAGCTGGATAGTTCACATTCTCTGATTGAACCCTGATAATTGCGTCATTTCCCATGATCTTGACATCGAGTTCAAGCCCAGCGGATCCACCTGTTCCCGTTCCGGATGATGAATCGCTTGGCCTGGTTGCTTGTTTATCGGAACTGGTAGTGGTGCTTTGGTTATCCATAGTGATATCCACCATTTCTACCTTCACTTTCTTACACTCTTTCTGAAGCTGCGACTCTAGTTCCTCGATCTTTGCCTTTAACTCGTTGATATACGAGACAGCATCGGATTAGAGCGACGCTTTGCTTTGTCCATGCGCGACACGTTCGGGACTAAGGCTCGGAGAGCGTAGAACCTGAGGTTCAGCTTCTCACAACGTTGCCTCTCGGCTTCCACGTGGTTCAACGGTGTCACTCTTCGAGACCGGGTTTTCTTTCTGGTTTCTTTGGGGCAGTCTTCTCTACGCTATTCATGGCAGGTGATGGAAAATCAGAATCTGAACGCTCTGAGTCAGCTTAAGAAGGTTGCCAGAGTTTTGATGAATCTTTCTTGGTCTGATTATTGTTTTCTTGCTTTGTTTAAATATCTGGGCTTGCATCATCTTCTTCTTGAACACCGGCTATTATGCCGTTATCTGCAAAAGAGATGTTTCTATCAAGGAACTGGATCGGACCCGGGGTTAGATTCGGATTTGGTTGAGATCGGATCCGAACAGGGATTTCACTTGCTGGACTAAACCCCAGTTTTCCCTGATCATTTCCGAGGATCCTAACTCAAGAACACCTCAAGAAGTTGGTATGTCGGCGGATGCACTAAGTCCCATAGGAACAAGTACATCTCATTATTTTAAAAAATATTAAATTTAGTTTAATGTGTTAGTAAAAAAATTATAATTTTTACATACTCCTTATTTTTAAAAAAAAATTAAAATTTTAGATTCTATTTTTAAATTTCTGGATCCACACTGGTCTCTATGCCATGCATTTCTTCTTCTCGACCTCTTTCACAATTGTAAAACTGCAACTCATGAGCCCCCGTTAACCAAACCAAAGACCCAGTACTAAGACCCTTGCTTGAAATCCCATTGCCGGCAGAGAAAGACTGAGTCATCGACATCATATAAAATCATTCAACACTGGTTATATTGGCTCATGTCATGATTAATCCCAATGAGCTCTTGGATTCCCTTCATCACCTTTCTACGACCATTGTGAACAATATCGGAACTCAGCTTGGGAAACGTGTCTTTGGTGCATTGAAGATAACCATCTCCCCAAGCCAAGAACAAACGACCCAGATCATCATTCAGCGTCTGCCAAAATACAGCATACCCCCACCAATCTTTCTGGCTGTGGATCATAAGTTGAAGCCTCTGCTGGAGTGTTGAAGGTGGAGTTTCCTGGGAAAAGGAAACCAGTGAAGAAGATGAAGATGGAGAGATTATTAGGTCATCCATGGTTGATCTGAATTGTTTTATTGTAATCGAATGGAAAATAGGTGGGAGGGTATTGGGTTTATAAGGGCATGCCGAAGAAGCTTAAGTTTGGGGTAGATGGGGGTGGGAATGTAAAATTCAAGTTTCAATCGGTCCTGTCAGGTTAGGTCATATCATATACAAATAGTGTCAGGTCAATTTGATGGTTCGACTCAGATTAAGTTGAGTCTGGATCAAATCAATTCAAGTCATTTTCAAGTTGATTTTACTATCAGATTTAATTCAGGTTCGGATCGTGTTAATTTCAGTTCGGATCAGTGTCAGTTCATGTTAAATCAAATCAGGTATGAATCATATAAATTCCAGGTTCGGATAGACTTCAGGTTGAATCTCGTTCAGATCATGTCACATCGTTGACAAATAAAATTCAAGTCGGATCTTACCAGGTATGAATTGACTTCAGGTCGGATAAATTTTGGGTTAATTATTTGTCATCTTTCATGAACGATGAATTGTAATTTTTAATTGTATATGATGATTTGGAGTAAATTACAAAAAATGTAAATAATTGTGAGTAAATTTGAATGAAAATATAATTTTAAGGACTAAATTAAAAAACAAGAAATTGCAAACAAAAATTTAAATAAATTAAACAACATTCATGTATGAGGGACTAAATCGAAATATAAATAAGTATGAATCAATTTCGTATACAATTATAATTTTAAGGAAAAAATTGAAGTAAATTACAAAAATATAAAAAAATGGGTCAATTTTATATACAAATATAATTTTAAGCACTAAATTGAAAAAATTAATAATTAAATAAATTATACAACACGTAGGGACCAAATTCACATAGTTGTAAAATATGAAACTAAAATTAATATAAATATGGATTGAATTGCATTCATTTTAAAAGTTGAGTAAAAAATCAAAACAATTTTAATATATATATGTATATATATTATATTATACATAGTATTTATATATAATATAAGTATACTTATAAGTATACATTATACATAAGTATATAAGTATATATATATATAAATTATTCTTATAAATATGTATAAGTTTATATCTATATATATATATATATATATATATATATATATATATATATAAGTATAAACTTATATAACTATACATTATACTTATAAGTATATAATATTAGTATACATTATACTTATACTTATGCATATGTATACTTATATATATAATTACACTCACACACACTATATATATGTATATAAAAGTATTTATATATAAGTATAAAATATAATATATAATATATAAGTATATATATATTATATTAAACATAAGTGACTAAAATAAAAGATTATAAAATTAAAATTCACATTTAATAATTGTGCACATTAAAGAAATAAGAGAAAATTAAAAGTAATTAGAATGTATACAACACTAAATTGCATTGAATTGAAAAATTCAAGAAAATATTTATAACTAGACCATGATTGAAATGAAGAAAACTAAAAACTAAATTACAAAATAGAAACCACTAATTGTTAGAAGACCGCGTCCCTAATTAACCCAAAAATCTGTTGGGCACCAACATTTGTGTATATACATATGCAAAAATCAAATTTTTCCCTTTCTAAAAAAATTAATTTTTCCTTCATCTA